AAATTCGATTCGAGTTAATTAAAATTTATATTTTTTTTGTATTAAAATTCAGAAATTCAATTCAAATTGATTAAAATTTATTTTTTATGTATTAAAATTTGAGTCAATTAAAATTTATATTTTTTTTACTTATTAGATTTTTTTACGTATTAAAATTTGTATTATGTTACGTATTAATATTTTTAATTCATGAGTTATATGGGTCAACTCGAACGCAACATAATACTTGACACAACTTATTCATAAGTTGTCTGGTTAGTATTTAGATATTTAACACAAATAATGAAACTGGCTGGGCTATAGTTCCCGACACGAACGTGACATAATACGACCTGAACATGATTCAACATAATTAAAGTCACACGCCCTAAGATATGGTTCTCTTTCATGGAAGGGTAAAACTTGGGGTAAAAGTGAAACTCGAGTGGGTTAATTTGATCAAGTCAGCCCAATCCAAAAAAAAATCAATTTATCAACTCAATTTAAATTCAAACAGTACTCAATTTATGTTTCTACTTTTTAGGATACAGTCCAAATAATTGAATTTGGATTCAACTCAATTGAAATCAAATTTACGCTCTAGTTGTATAACTTGAGATTCAAACTTGAATTAAATTAGATTTCAAGTCGAATTTGTATGTTATCTACCTTAAAGTCAAAACCTCAATTGATGTCGATTTGTATTCAAATTTCATTCCTACTTGCATATCATCTAATTTCAAAATTTAACCATGAATGACACTCGGATTAAAAATTTTGAATTAAGCCCAAGTTGGGAGTTTGAAAAATTGTGATTTAACTCGAGTTGACTTCAACTTGCCTTACACTGCTATACTAGCTAGGTTGTGGCATGAGTATTGATATTTAAATTAAATAAATTAGTGATTTTACTATTTGGATGTGTTGAGGGTATTTTAGAATTTTGTTAACAAGCTTAATTAACGGTGTAATTTAGTCTAGAAATAACAAGAATGTTATAATTTTTTATTTTTGCAGGTTAGGGTTGATGTGTGAAATGATTTACCAGTATGGTATAATTTGAAATTTACCAAACAATATAAAATAATCCCCAATGCAAAGCAATTTTACTTTTAGTGATATAATTAATTTAATTACTAAAAATATGAAAGTTTTAGTCGCGACTTGACAATCATGAGTAAAAGTATAAAAGTTTTGGTAATAACACCAATATTATCACTAAAATTATGAAAGTTCTAATGATGACATCAAAGTCACCACTAAAGTCATCAATGTTTTAGTGACAATATTGAAATCATCACCAAAACTTTAAAATTTTTAGAGGCAACTAATCTCGTTATTAATAGTAATTGTTTATCATTTTGAGTGACTATAATAAAATTCATCACTATTTGTACAATTTCTCACATTTTCAGAGATGAAGTTATGATGATGAACAATAATTCATCACTAAAAGTTAACTTTTGATGACAAATAATGTTCTTGTTACTCATCCTGGACCATTAGTGACAAGTTCACATGTCATTGCTAAAAGGGTATCATTAATGACAAAAATAACTTTGTCACTAACAAATTTGTCACTAAAACCTAAAATTGTTATAGTGAATTTAGTGTTTTCAATACTTCATCAAAATAAAATATTGGATGAGATAAATGTGGGGTTCACTACTTTTTAATGTTTGAACCAAATATGAGATGTAGATAAAAGAGACATTATCACTATAATTAGTCAAGGGTCATATGAGTGAGCATGGAATAGACGGGTTTATCTAATTCAATCCTTCTTAATGCTTAAAACAAATATACCCTTTAATACTTAAATCAAACTTGCCTTGGGGTTGTGACGTTTTATCTTCGGATAGATAAGCAAGACGGATTCTAGAATTTAGTTTGAAAGAGAGGCCTTTACTTTGTACGAAAAAATTGAGAGGACAACCTCGAATTTTAATAGGCCTGGTTTAGCAAAATCAAAGTTAAGCCCCCTTTAATACATTTTTTCTTTATTTTTTTTTCTTTGAAAAGTCATTTACTTGAAAGTCAATTGAAACTCATTATATATCAGCAGTTCCTTACTCATACTTGGTGAGTAATCTATCAAAGAAAAAAATGAAGTCAAATTGTATAGAAGGAGATCCGTATCCAAGCATAAATATGATCGTTTTAGCCTGAAACCTCTGTGGTTACATGTAAATTCAGTCTTCAAACAGTATTCACTCAACAACTCTTTCCCAACCCAGTCTTACTCTTAGATGCCAAACTAAGCCAAAATTGTTTGAGGCTGACTTCAATTGTTAGCAGCCTTTTAAGTGAACGGCGGGCGGGTAAGAAAAGAAATGCCCTGAAATTGCCAAAGAATCTTTGAGTAAGGTTACAATATTGACTCCTACTTCACTATCGTATCTCTATCAATTTTAATTATTAATTTTAAATTAGATAATTCATAATTATTGAATAAAAATAAAGATAAAAAATACTTTTACACACTCAAGAAGCTTAAGCTAACATCACAAAGTTGGAAAAGAACACAAACTCTCAAAGGCCCACATCTGTCGGCAGGAATCAAAACGGTCCCAAAACAAGATGGTAAAAGCAAAGTAAGACAAGCAGCCAGCTGCATGCAGGAGCCCAACGAACTCCAAGGCAATAGATTGGGTATCTACCCTTCTAAGGTTGGTCTAAGTGTTTTATTCCAGCCAACTTTCCTGACTTTGAATATGCATATCATGCTTGGCTCCATTGTCAGTTGTCACTAACCGAACTCGAATTCGAACTCGGACTCGGACAGTTAACTTAAATGCTTACTGAAATTCGACTAAACGAAAAAAAAAAAATTGAAGGAGTACTAATTGTAAACGGTGTATTTGCTTTTGGGCTAGTATTCTCTCTTTTTCTCTTTAGTGGCTAACTGAAAATTGTCTTGCTCCTATATTTTTCTCTTGTTCCGTCACCTAGCCTTACTTCTCTCTCTATTTTCCATCGAGTATTTTTGAAACGATGCTCCCTTACTCTTCCTTCTCCTCCGAAGACCCTAGGATTATAAGGTGCTAGGAATACGTGGAGGGTGGTGCAGTGGCCAAGTGCCAACATTGAACTGTTGCTTTATGAATTCTTCTCTAATCTCCGGCCGAACTAAGATGTCAATTTCTGACCCAACACAAAAATACAATTATAAATCGACACAAAATTAACGGGTTGAGGTTGAAAATTTCTCAACATGAACTCATATATGACACTACCTGTTAACATGAATAATAAATGGGATAAGTCAAGTGTTAAACACGAACAATATGAAATTTATACGAAATTGACACGATTAACACCTCTAAATAGTACTACAAGAATAAAACGTTAATTTTTTATTATATTTTATAAAGTAATGACCTAATTTTTGTACCAAAAAAAAATTATTTTTACTCATTTTTATTATTATATTTATTAAGTTAATTTTTAGTTTAAAGGAAAAATATGAGTGTAGCTTCAATTAAGTGATATAAAATTTTAGACATAAAATTGTGTTAAATTTTTTATTTATAGGTTATATGGGTCAACACAAACACGACCCGACAAGAGACACACGATCGTCACCCCCTAAAAAAATAATAAGTAATAGGGTATCACAAAATAACGTTTGGGTACTATAATGTTTCATGGAAATATATATGATAAAATTTATGATAAAATAATATTTATTTTTTTAAGGTTAATTACAAAATGCTCCCTTTAACTTTGAGTCTTGTTTTAATTAGATCATTCTGGTTTAAAATTGAGCAATTTGCTCCTTCAAGTCTCAAAATTAACAAATTGACTGATGAATTAGACAGAAACTTTAAAATTATTTTTACACCATTAACCTTTATTTATCTCCATTTTCTTTCCTTTCTCTTTGCCCAATTGAGCCAAAAGCTCCAACGCCACCAGCCACAAACCCCAATTGAGCCAAAAACTCCAGCGCCACCAACCACAAACCACAGCAGCCACCACCCAACCTTAAACCACCGTAGCCACCACCCAACAACAAACAACCTCTGCCACCAACCACCACAGTCACTCAGCCACAATCAACTAGTCAATTAGGATGCAACTATACAAAATCTCTCTCTGTCTGTGTCTCTTCAAATGGGTGATGTACAATAGAGGGTAGATTTCTTTTGGGGTTGGGGCTGTTTGGGGTTTGCTGTTGCGGGTAGATTTCGGTTTCACTGGCTGAGGGACAAGAAAGTAGTTGTTTGGGAGTGGGGTGTATTGGGGAGGGGGGTTCGATTTCACTAGAGGGTAGGGAGTTGAGGGAAGGGTGGGGTTTTATCGGAGGAGGGAGTTGGGTATTTCACAGGAGAAATCGTTGGTTTCTTGTGTGCATAGTTGATTTTTTTTAACACAAAAAATTAAGATAAGGGTAGTTGTTGGCTTTGGATTAATTTAAGTCATTTGTTACGGCCGTTAACTAACGATAAGAGTAATTGAATATTATTCAAACATTAAAGGGTCAAATTGTTCAATTTTAAATTAAAGTGACTTGATTGAAACAAGACCTAAAATTCAACGGGTCATTTTATAATTAACCCTTTTTTTTTATATTAACCTATTAACCTACTCGCCCTCATCCACGAAACATCACAGTACTTGAAAACAGTTTAGCTTTGTTGATTTGTCTAGTTGTTTCTTCTCTGACACTATTCTTTTTCCCCTCTATCCTCTGCAACTCTCTCTTTTCTATTTATGTGGTTGTTTCTTCCTCTCTAACCTTATTTTTTCCCTCTCTTCCCTGCAACTTTCTCTTTCTCTCTCCTTTTTTTCTTATTCCTCTTGATTCTTCACATATTATCAGAAGAATATTGTGTGTCTAGGATCATGGGTGACTCTTCTGCTCAATATATCCACATGGTAAGTTCTTTTTTTTTTTTTTTTTTATCATACTATGATCATAAGACTCAGATCATTTATCTTTTGCTGATATTAAACTTTGTCTTTTGGGATGTGTGAGTCAGGTACAGCACCTAATAGAAGAGTGCATCAAATTCAACATGAGCAAAGAAGAGTGCATGGAAGCTATTTCCAAACATGCAAATATCCAACCAGTCATCACTTCCACAGGTCAGTTGAGAAGTTAAAAACTCCATTTGCCTATTTTTTTCATATTTTTCAGGATAATAAACCTTCTCGAGGCATGACCATCAAATCCAATATAAACTCCAGATATTTACAATCAACCACTAATCACATATATAAGCATACACGTGTGTGCGTGTCTAATGATGATGTTCAAGTATGTTATCAATGTTTAGAGAAACTTTTGATTAATTACATAACAATTAATATTACTAAGGGCATGGTCGGCTTAAACCATAAGCAAGTGAAATGCTTGCTTATGGCCCCAAAAAATTAGGGGCTCAAATTATATTTTTGGCTTTTTTAATATGGGTTAATATGACTCAAGAATATTATAGAATAAAGGGTCTAAAAATATACAAAATTTGATTATCTCTACTCTTTTTTTAAAATGTTACATTCTGACGTCAAGTCAATGGTCATATCTGACATCACTCACCTAAAGATTACACCTCCTTTCTTTATTTATTGTTCATCTAAATACTCTCCATAATTAAGGTATATGCAAATAAATTCACATAAACAAATCCTGCCTACATCTCTCTCTTATTCTTTTGATTTGAAGATCAAAACGAATTGAAAATAGAATAATTATAAAGCAGCATAAGCCCTCCCTCTTCATTGGAAAAAATAGCATAGTTATAAAATAACATATATACTTGTAATAAGTTTATAAAAAACCCCGCTTAAAGTTTTTGCTTATGGCCCCAAATTCTATTGAACTGGCCCGACTAAGTGATATGTTAAACCCACGTAAAATTATCTGGAATGTTTATGTAGTGTGGAAGGAGCTAGAGAAAGAGAACAAGGACTTCTTTGAGGCTTATACAAATAGCAGAGAAGAGAGGGCATCAGAAATGGAGACAAGGCAAAAAATCCATAAGATGCTATTGGATTCTTCCTCTTCGAAAGTTACTGATGGTGACGATGATGACTAGTTCCACTCCCACCCACCCAGATAGCGACGCTCGAGGCTTGGCCTGGTGTTCCAATTACTGGTTCACCCTGTGATATCCAACGCAAGTCAAGGGAAATTTGGTACTAACAAGCTAGTAATTTAGACAAAATTGTAGGAAAACATCGTCTATATATGTGCTTGTGTTGGAGAAAATAAATATTTAATGTAGCAATAATATTATATTATCATTAACATGGTATTTTATTAATATTTACAGTAATGTTATTGATATCTAAAAAATTGACATAATTTATTGATATAATAATGTGTCAAGTGATGGAGTTTCAATGCAAAAGTTCAAGTGTTATCGTCACAATAACACTATTAGACTATGTCACAGTTATATCATTAGATGAGCTCAGTAAATTAAGTTAATTTTTTAAGTCCTAATAGTATTAGTCAATGTGATTGTATTCTAAGTTAGTAACTATTGAATTAACAATAAGTTTTGATATTTTATGGGACCCACAATTAATTTTAATAAATTAAATTAATAAATTATTTCAATAAATTAAGTTTATTAGTCAACTAGCTATTCCCCGTGCTTGAAGGCACATAGTAATAAAACAAATGGTCAATATATTTATATTCACACCTAAAATCAAACTACAAAACATAGATAAGAGATAAAGAAATTTAAGCACCGATTGTAATGGGGGCGAGCAGTGGTAATGGTGAGGATAAGAGACGGTGATGATTGTGGTAGGTAAGGCAACGATTGTGGTGGTGGTAGCAATCTTGGGTGGCAATGGTGATGGTGGTGGTGGATTTTGAGTGACGATGATGGTAGTGACAACCGTGAGTGGCAATGGTGGTGGTGGTGGGTGTGAGTGGTGGTGGACAACAGTGATGGTAATTGGCAGTGGTGGAGGTGGGATGACGACAGTGGTGGTGGGTAGTGATGATGGTTGTGGTGGGCAACGATGGGTGCTTTCTAGGTGGAAGTGTGATGGATGGTGGCCAATGGCGGAGGTGGTAAGTGTGGTGGGGGTAGGTGACAGTGGGTGGGTGCAGCGGTGGGCGATGACAGGTGGTGGTTGGTGGTGGTAGGTATGGTGATGTAGGTGATAGTGGCTAGTGGCGATGGGTCATGGTGGGTGCTGATAGTGGTAGTGGAATGATGGCGGTAATGATAATAAATATAAGAATAAGACGACGATGGTGATGGGTGGTGGCTATTAACGACAATGGCAGAAATTGGTGGTGGGTGGTGGCGATGAGGTTGGGGTGGGGGTAGACGTGGGGCAGTGTCGATGATGGGGGTGGCAGTGGTGATAGTTGTGATGGTCATGGGGGTAGGGGTGGTAGAGATGATGGTGGGACAGTAGCGATGGTGGTAAGGTGCGACAGCGATGGTGGTGGGGATAATGGTGGTGGGGCAGTGGAAGTGTTGGTGGTGGTGGGGCGGTGGTGGTAGTGGTAGTGATGATGGTGGGTGGTGGTGGTAATGGTTGTGGTGGTGGTGGGGCAATGAAAATGTTGATGGTGGTGGTAAGGTGGTGGTGGTGGTGGGGTGGTGGGTAGGGGTGTTCACTCTACCTTACGGGTAGAAAATATTGTCTTCCGTCTTTTTACACGATACCTTGCGGAAGAATTTTTTCTTGACCTACCTTACCCGATTTCCTACCCGACTTCATACCCGAATAATCGAGTAGGAAATCAGGTAAACACTTTTGTAATTATTAATTTTTGGATAATTTAAACAATTCAATTAAATAACATGCATCAATTTAACAACACAATAAATCAATAACACTTAAACCTAAAACAACTACAACAACAATTACAATAAAACATAAAATATCATGAACATCAATCCATTATAATTGTTATACAAATACAAATAATTATATTTAAGTTTAAACCATATGAAATACATTAAAATCATAACTGCTCCAATAGTTCACTAGTTTACCACAAATCTTGTAACCTACACAAAAAACAAGTCCATATTTTCACAACTCAAACATCAACAACAATAACAATATTATAATATAAATTATATCACACAAATACTCTTATAATTACTAAAAAAAATATAAAAAAGTTAAATATATTGTTTGCGGGTAGGGTAGGATAGAAATGCGGAAATTGATGGGTATTTCGCATTCCTATCCGATTTAATCGGAAGACCAAAAATTATTCCGCATTCCTACTCGATTTTTATGACTAGCCGTTCAGTAAGGTAGGATAGAATAGGAAATTGCGATCAATCAAAAATTTGAACACCTCTAGTAGTGGATATGATAGGGTAGCGATAGTGATGGTGGTGGGGTGGTGGGTATGGTAGGGTGACAATAGTGATGGTTGTAGGGTGGTGGGGGTAGAGGTGGGGGTGGTAGTGGTGGTGACAGTGGTGGTGGTGGTGGTGTTAGAGGTAGTGGTGGTAAAGTTTTAAACACTATTTTTTAAAAAATATTTATGAAAAATAATTTTTAAAAGTACTTTTAAAAAGTTACTCTAAACACACATTTAGTAGCCTATTTTTCATATTAAATTTGAGGTGTTAATATTAGCCGTTACATTAACTTTAAAATAAAATTTAAAACGATGTCNTGGGTTGTTCTTCACAAGGAGAGAGGCTATGAAAGAGAAGTGCGTGAGAGAGAGGAAAGGAGAAGTGGTGGCTATGAGTGGGGAAGAAGGATCATGATCGTGAGAGTGGGAGATGGGAAAGAATAGGATTCCTAAACTCCTAATTGGATTGGCGGGAAGAGATAGGCGTGAATGAAAGGGCTTTTTAACTGGGGAAACAAAAAATAGTGATTAAAATTCAAGTTGATTAAAATTTATTTTTTAACATATGAAAATTTGAGCTAATTAAAATAAGATTCGAGCTGCTTAAGATTTATTTATTTTTATATATTAAAATTTGAGCCGATTTAAACTCAATCCTAAGTTGCTAGCACCGATTAAATTCGATTCGAGTTAATTAAAATTTATATTTTTTTTGTATTAAAATTCAGAAATTCAATTCAAATTGATTAAAATTTATTTTTTATGTATTAAAATTTGAGTCAATTAAAATTTATATTTTTTTTACTTATTAGATTTTTTTACGTATTAAAATTTGTATTATGTTACGTATTAATATTTTTAATTCATGAGTTATATGGGTCAACTCGAACGCAACATAATACTTGACACAACTTATTCATAAGTTGTCTGGTTAGTATTTAGATATTTAACACAAATAATGAAACTGGCTGGGCTATAGTTCCCGACACGAACGTGACATAATACGACCTGAACATGATTCAACATAATTAAAGTCACACGCCCTAAGATATGGTTCTCTTTCATGGAAGGGTAAAACTTGGGGTAAAAGTGAAACTCGAGTGGGTTAATTTGATCAAGTCAGCCCAATCCAAAAAAAAATCAATTTATCAACTCAATTTAAATTCAAACAGTACTCAATTTATGTTTCTACTTTTTAGGATACAGTCCAAATAATTGAATTTGGATTCAACTCAATTGAAATCAAATTTACGCTCTAGTTGTATAACTTGAGATTCAAACTTGAATTAAATTAGATTTCAAGTCGAATTTGTATGTTATCTACCTTAAAGTCAAAACCTCAATTGATGTCGATTTGTATTCAAATTTCATTCCTACTTGCATATCATCTAATTTCAAAATTTAACCATGAATGACACTCGGATTAAAAATTTTGAATTAAGCCCAAGTTGGGAGTTTGAAAAATTGTGATTTAACTCGAGTTGACTTCAACTTGCCTTACACTGCTATACTAGCTAGGTTGTGGCATGAGTATTGATATTTAAATTAAATAAATTAGTGATTTTACTATTTGGATGTGTTGAGGGTATTTTAGAATTTTGTTAACAAGCTTAATTAACGGTGTAATTTAGTCTAGAAATAACAAGAATGTTATAATTTTTTATTTTTGCAGGTTAGGGTTGATGTGTGAAATGATTTACCAGTATGGTATAATTTGAAATTTACCAAACAATATAAAATAATCCCCAATGCAAAGCAATTTTACTTTTAGTGATATAATTAATTTAATTACTAAAAATATGAAAGTTTTAGTCGCGACTTGACAATCATGAGTAAAAGTATAAAAGTTTTGGTAATAACACCAATATTATCACTAAAATTATGAAAGTTCTAATGATGACATCAAAGTCACCACTAAAGTCATCAATGTTTTAGTGACAATATTGAAATCATCACCAAAACTTTAAAATTTTTAGAGGCAACTAATCTCGTTATTAATAGTAATTGTTTATCATTTTGAGTGACTATAATAAAATTCATCACTATTTGTACAATTTCTCACATTTTCAGAGATGAAGTTATGATGATGAACAATAATTCATCACTAAAAGTTAACTTTTGATGACAAATAATGTTCTTGTTACTCATCCTGGACCATTAGTGACAAGTTCACATGTCATTGCTAAAAGGGTATCATTAATGACAAAAATAACTTTGTCACTAACAAATTTGTCACTAAAACCTAAAATTGTTATAGTGAATTTAGTGTTTTCAATACTTCATCAAAATAAAATATTGGATGAGATAAATGTGGGGTTCACTACTTTTTAATGTTTGAACCAAATATGAGATGTAGATAAAAGAGACATTATCACTATAATTAGTCAAGGGTCATATGAGTGAGCATGGAATAGACGGGTTTATCTAATTCAATCCTTCTTAATGCTTAAAACAAATATACCCTTTAATACTTAAATCAAACTTGCCTTGGGGTTGTGACGTTTTATCTTCGGATAGATAAGCAAGACGGATTCTAGAATTTAGTTTGAAAGAGAGGCCTTTACTTTGTACGAAAAAATTGAGAGGACAACCTCGAATTTTAATAGGCCTGGTTTAGCAAAATCAAAGTTAAGCCCCCTTTAATACATTTTTTCTTTATTTTTTTTTCTTTGAAAAGTCATTTACTTGAAAGTCAATTGAAACTCATTATATATCAGCAGTTCCTTACTCATACTTGGTGAGTAATCTATCAAAGAAAAAAATGAAGTCAAATTGTATAGAAGGAGATCCGTATCCAAGCATAAATATGATCGTTTTAGCCTGAAACCTCTGTGGTTACATGTAAATTCAGTCTTCAAACAGTATTCACTCAACAACTCTTTCCCAACCCAGTCTTACTCTTAGATGCCAAACTAAGCCAAAATTGTTTGAGGCTGACTTCAATTGTTAGCAGCCTTTTAAGTGAACGGCGGGCGGGTAAGAAAAGAAATGCCCTGAAATTGCCAAAGAATCTTTGAGTAAGGTTACAATATTGACTCCTACTTCACTATCGTATCTCTATCAATTTTAATTATTAATTTTAAATTAGATAATTCATAATTATTGAATAAAAATAAAGATAAAAAATACTTTTACACACTCAAGAAGCTTAAGCTAACATCACAAAGTTGGAAAAGAACACAAACTCTCAAAGGCCCACATCTGTCGGCAGGAATCAAAACGGTCCCAAAACAAGATGGTAAAAGCAAAGTAAGACAAGCAGCCAGCTGCATGCAGGAGCCCAACGAACTCCAAGGCAATAGATTGGGTATCTACCCTTCTAAGGTTGGTCTAAGTGTTTTATTCCAGCCAACTTTCCTGACTTTGAATATGCATATCATGCTTGGCTCCATTGTCAGTTGTCACTAACCGAACTCGAATTCGAACTCGGACTCGGACAGTTAACTTAAATGCTTACTGAAATTCGACTAAACGAAAAAAAAAAAATTGAAGGAGTACTAATTGTAAACGGTGTATTTGCTTTTGGGCTAGTATTCTCTCTTTTTCTCTTTAGTGGCTAACTGAAAATTGTCTTGCTCCTATATTTTTCTCTTGTTCCGTCACCTAGCCTTACTTCTCTCTCTATTTTCCATCGAGTATTTTTGAAACGATGCTCCCTTACTCTTCCTTCTCCTCCGAAGACCCTAGGATTATAAGGTGCTAGGAATACGTGGAGGGTGGTGCAGTGGCCAAGTGCCAACATTGAACTGTTGCTTTATGAATTCTTCTCTAATCTCCGGCCGAACTAAGATGTCAATTTCTGACCCAACACAAAAATACAATTATAAATCGACACAAAATTAACGGGTTGAGGTTGAAAATTTCTCAACATGAACTCATATATGACACTACCTGTTAACATGAATAATAAATGGGATAAGTCAAGTGTTAAACACGAACAATATGAAATTTATACGAAATTGACACGATTAACACCTCTAAATAGTACTACAAGAATAAAACGTTAATTTTTTATTATATTTTATAAAGTAATGACCTAATTTTTGTACCAAAAAAAAATTATTTTTACTCATTTTTATTATTATATTTATTAAGTTAATTTTTAGTTTAAAGGAAAAATATGAGTGTAGCTTCAATTAAGTGATATAAAATTTTAGACATAAAATTGTGTTAAATTTTTTATTTATAGGTTATATGGGTCAACACAAACACGACCCGACAAGAGACACACGATCGTCACCCCCTAAAAAAATAATAAGTAATAGGGTATCACAAAATAACGTTTGGGTACTATAATGTTTCATGGAAATATATATGATAAAATTTATGATAAAATAATATTTATTTTTTTAAGGTTAATTACAAAATGCTCCCTTTAACTTTGAGTCTTGTTTTAATTAGATCATTCTGGTTTAAAATTGAGCAATTTGCTCCTTCAAGTCTCAAAATTAACAAATTGACTGATGAATTAGACAGAAACTTTAAAATTATTTTTACACCATTAACCTTTATTTATCTCCATTTTCTTTCCTTTCTCTTTGCCCAATTGAGCCAAAAGCTCCAACGCCACCAGCCACAAACCCCAATTGAGCCAAAAACTCCAGCGCCACCAACCACAAACCACAGCAGCCACCACCCAACCTTAAACCACCGTAGCCACCACCCAACAACAAACAACCTCTGCCACCAACCACCACAGTCACTCAGCCACAATCAACTAGTCAATTAGGATGCAACTATACAAAATCTCTCTCTGTCTGTGTCTCTTCAAATGGGTGATGTACAATAGAGGGTAGATTTCTTTTGGGGTTGGGGCTGTTTGGGGTTTGCTGTTGCGGGTAGATTTCGGTTTCACTGGCTGAGGGACAAGAAAGTAGTTGTTTGGGAGTGGGGTGTATTGGGGAGGGGGGTTCGATTTCACTAGAGGGTAGGGAGTTGAGGGAAGGGTGGGGTTTTATCGGAGGAGGGAGTTGGGTATTTCACAGGAGAAATCGTTGGTTTCTTGTGTGCATAGTTGATTTTTTTTAACACAAAAAATTAAGATAAGGGTAGTTGTTGGCTTTGGATTAATTTAAGTCATTTGTTACGGCCGTTAACTAACGATAAGAGTAATTGAATATTATTCAAACATTAAAGGGTCAAATTGTTCAATTTTAAATTAAAGTGACTTGATTGAAACAAGACCTAAAATTCAACGGGTCATTTTATAATTAACCCTTTTTTTTTATATTAACCTATTAACCTACTCGCCCTCATCCACGAAACATCACAGTACTTGAAAACAGTTTAGCTTTGTTGATTTGTCTAGTTGTTTCTTCTCTGACACTATTCTTTTTCCCCTCTATCCTCTGCAACTCTCTCTTTTCTATTTATGTGGTTGTTTCTTCCTCTCTAACCTTATTTTTTCCCTCTCTTCCCTGCAACTTTCTCTTTCTCTCTCCTTTTTTTCTTATTCCTCTTGATTCTTCACATATTATCAGAAGAATATTGTGTGTCTAGGATCATGGGTGACTCTTCTGCTCAATATATCCACATGGTAAGTCCTTTTTTTTTTTTTTTTTTATCATACTATGATCATAAGACTCAGATCATTTATCTTTTGCTGATATTAAACTTTGTCTTTTGGGATGTGTGAGTCAGGTACAGCACCTAATAGAAGAGTGCATCAAATTCAACATGAGCAAAGAAGAGTGCATGGAAGCTATTTCCAAACATGCAAATATCCAACCAGTCATCACTTCCACAGGTCAGTTGAGAAGTTAAAAACTCCATTTGCCTATTTTTTTCATATTTTTCAGGATAATAAACCTTCTCGAGGCATGACCATCAAATCCAATATAAACTCCAGATATTTACAATCAACCACTAATCACATATATAAGCATACACGTGTGTGCGTGTCTAATGATGATGTTCAAGTATGTTATCAATGTTTAGAGAAACTTTTGATTAATTACATAACAATTAATATTACTAAGGGCATGGTCGGCTTAAACCATAAGCAAGTGAAATGCTTGCTTATGGCCCCAAAAAATTAGGGGCTCAAATTATATTTTTGGCTTTTTTAATATGGGTTAATATGACTCAAGAATATTATAGAATAAAGGGTCTAAAAATATACAAAATTTGATTATCTCTACTCTTTTTTTAAAATGTTACATTCTGACGTCAAGTCAATGGTCATATCTGACATCACTCACCTAAAGATTACACCTCCTTTCTTTATTTATTGTTCATCTAAATACTCTCCATAATTAAGGTATATGCAAATAAATTCACATAAACAAATCCTGCCTACATCTCTCTCTTATTCTTTTGATTTGAAGATCAAAACGAATTGAAAATAGAATAATTATAAAGCAGCATAAGCCCTCCCTCTTCATTGGAAAAAATAGCATAGTTATAAAATAACATATATACTTGTAATAAGTTTATAAAAAACCCCGCTTAAAGTTTTTGCTTATGGCCCCAAATTCTATTGAACTGGCCCGACTAAGTGATATGTTAAACCCACGTAAAATTATCTGGAATGTTTATGTAGTGTGGAAGGAGCTAGAGAAAGAGAACAAGGACTTCTTTGAGGCTTATACAAATAGCAGAGAAGAGAGGGCATCAGAAATGGAGACAAGGCAAAAAATCCATAAGATGCTATTGGATTCTTCCTCTTCGAAAGTTACTGATGGTGACGATGATGACTAGTTCCACTCCCACCCACCCAGATAGCGACGCTCGAGGCTTGGCCTGGTGTTCCAATTACTGGTTCACCCTGTGATATCCAACGCAAGTCAAGGGAAATTTGGTACTAACAAGCTAGTAATTTAGACAAAATTGTAGGAAAACATCGTCTATATATGTGCTTGTGTTGGAGAAAATAAATATTTAATGTAGCAATAATATTATATTATCATTAACATGGTATTTTATTAATATTTACAGTAATGTTATTGATATCTAAAAAATTGACATAATTTATTGATATAATAATGTGTCAAGTGATGGAGTTTCAATGCAAAAGTTCAAGTGTTATCGTCACAATAACACTATTAGACTATGTCACAGTTATATCATTAGATGAGCTCAGTAAATTAAGTTAATTTTTTAAGTCCTAATAGTATTAGTCAATGTGATTGTATTCTAAGTTAGTAACTATTGAATTAACAATAAGTTTTGATATTTTATGGGACCCACAATTAATTTTAATAAATTAAATTAATAAATTATTTCAATAAATTAAGTTTATTAGTCAACTAGCTATTCCCCGTGCTTGAAGGCACATAGTAATAAAACAAATGGTCAATATATTTATATTCACACCTAAAATCAAACTACAAAACATAGATAAGAGATAAAGAAATTTAAGCACCGATTGTAATGGGGGCGAGCAGTGGTAATGGTGAGGATAAGAGACGGTGATGATTGTGGTAGGTAAGGCAACGATTGTGGTGGTGGTAGCAATCTTGGGTGGCAATGGTGATGGTGGTGGTGGATTTTGAGTGACGATGATGGTAGTGACAACCGTGAGTGGCAATGGTGGTGGTGGTGGGTGTGAGTGGTGGTGGACAACAGTGATGGTAATTGGCAGTGGTGGAGGTGGGATGACGACAGTGGTGGTGGGTAGTGATGATGGTTGTGGTGGGCAACGATGGGTGCTTTCTAGGTGGAAGTGTGATGGATGGTGGCCAATGGCGGAGGTGGTAAGTGTGGTGGGGGTAGGTGACAGTGGGTGGGTGCAGCGGTGGGCGATGACAGGTGGTGGTTGGTGGTGGTAGGTATGGTGATGTAGGTGATAGTGGCTAGTGGCGATGGGTCATGGTGGGTGCTGATAGTGGTAGTGGAATGATGGCGGTAATGATAATAAATATAAGAATAAGACGACGATGGTGATGGGTGGTGGCTATTAACGACAATGGCAGAAATTGGTGGTGGGTGGTGGCGATGAGGTTGGGGTGGGGGTAGACGTGGGGCAGTGTCGATGATGGGGGTGGCAGTGGTGATAGTTGTGATGGTCATGGGGGTAGGGGTGGTAGAGATGATGGTGGGACAGTAGCGATGGTGGTAAGGTGCGACAGCGATGGTGGTGGGGATAATGGTGGTGGGGCAGTGGAAGTGTTGGTGGTGGTGGGGCGGTGGTGGTAGTGGTAGTGATGATGGTGGGTGGTGGTGGTAATGGTTGTGGTGGTGGTGGGGCAATGAAAATGTTGATGGTGGTGGTAAGGTGGTGGTGGTGGTGGGG